AGAGAGAGAGAGAGAGAGAGAGAGAGAGAGAGAGAGAGAGAGAGAGAGAGAAAACAACCATGGTCTGATGATATAGTTCAGTGGTAGAACACTTGCCTAGCGTGTACAGGCCCTGGGTTTGAGCCAGAGCACTGAAAACAAACTAGTTATTAGTGAAGTATCATTGTCCAATGCAATAAACCTTTTTCTCCAATGAGGGGTTATTTATAGAAGAGGGGGTGCATCACATTTTGCTACTGCTTGGTGACAGTTTGGAATTTAAAATGACCTGACAGGTCACGGCACTCAGCGACATGGGTGACATGCTGCAGAAAGCACACTTGGTCATAGAGGGAACGTTCATTTACCTGAGGGACAGTGGAGAGTTCTTCATCCGTGTCCGAGATGGTTGGAAAAAATTACAGGTAATTCTTAAGCTTCCTTTATAGCCCTCTCCCCTCCAAACACTGTGGATGTACAGAACCCCCCAATGGTGCCAGTTTTCTGTCTTGGAAGCTGTTTCTTACAGCTGTTGCATTTGCAACATCTTCCTTCTCTTATAGTTGGGAGAACTGATCCCCATCCCTGCTGACAGCCCCCCACCACCAGCGCTTTCCAGCAATGTGAGTAGCTCCTCTGCCTGCCCCGAGTGCCCCTGAGTCCCTGTACCAGGCTCTCCAAACCCAACCTGTTCTGTGTGACTTAGCTCCTGGTGAAAAACCCAGGAATTACTAGACAGCACATTGTCACCAGGGAGTCGGGGAAGAGCTGGGTGCAGAGGCTGGAGACCCCTGTTCCCAATTTACCCACAAGCCATCTAGAAGAATCCCTCCCTCCCTCCTTTACTTACTTATTTTGAGACAAGATCTCACTAGTAGCCCAGGCTGGCCTCGAACTCACAGAGATCCGCCTGCCTCTGCCTCCTGAATGCTGGGATTAAAGGTGTGTGCCACCACACCTACCAGGCAAAACCCTTAACTTTACTGTAAAGAGCATAAGCAACTGGCATCGTCTGTTGTTGGGTTCTATTGCAACCCTTCGAGGCCACTGCCATCACCCCATTTTTCAGATTGTAAAACTGAACCTTTGAAGAGGTAGACAGGTTGCCTTTTAAGCTGAGGTCCTCTGCTTCCCCAGCCCAGGGATCTTAAAGATCTTGAACACTCCCTCCTTCCCTGATGAAATTTTCATTTGGCCATGAAAGTCCTCCCACTTAAGAGTCACAGTTAATGGTAATGCCCAGCTGTTTAAAGCATCATGCCAGGAGGCATTAGACTAATCGTGCTCTGGAGAGTACAACATGTATTCTGAATGCGTATTCATACTTATCCTTTCCCCTTTCATATCACAGCCATACCAGCCACAGCCTCCACTGAACCCCATTTTAAGTGCCAATTATGAGAGACCTGTCGTAAGTACAAGTCATACGTTTGCTTTTCAGATAATGAGTATGTGAGTGTGCCTGAAAGTGCTAAGCCCTGTGCTCGGTTCTAGTTATTATTATTTCTCTTTTAGATTTTTTTAGATTTTTTTGACTACATGTATGTATGTGTACCATGTGCATGCCTGATGCCTGTAGAGGTCAGAAGAGGGAAACATAACCCTTTAACTGGAGTTACAAACAGCTCCGATCCACCATGTGAGTGCTGGGAATTGAATCCCGGTCCTTTGAAAGAGCAGCAAGTGCTCTTAACTGATGGACCATCTCTTCAGCCCTGATAAATAGCTCTTACCACCCACCTGCTTACAAACTAGCCAGGAAGACACATGTAATGGACAGTTATATCCTGGTCATTTGAGTGAGACAAACTGGAGATGCTGGGATCACTAGAAAGACAAAGGCAGTCAGTCTGGAGGAGGTGACCTCTAGCTTCAGACCTAAGAGATGCTGGAGTTCAGGAGTGAAACAGGCAGGGAAAAATAAAAGTAGGGATTCCCAGCAGAAGGGAAGATGGAACCCGAGAGGGTGAGGTGTGTGCGCTGCTCCTTCCTGTACTGCATTTCAAACTGGCCAGAGAACTAGACTTCACAGGAAAGGAAAAAGCTGAGGCTGGAGAAGTCCACACGAGCTGGGGAATTGGGCCCTTTCCTGCAATTGATGAGAGCTACTGATAAGTTGAAAGGGGAACAGGGGGAAGTGGTAAGGCTGCTGTTTTGAAATGGCTTTGGTTGGAGCACAGTGCATTGGAAGGGACAGGGGCAGCAGTGCAAGGCTGCAGGCTGGAGAAGACGGCTGGTGGGAGAGACATGAGGAGACAGGGGAAGCCAGGTTGGTCACCTGGTGCATGTGTGAGATCAAGGATGAGGCCCAAACCCCCACTGGAGTGATCCAGTGGTCACAGGCTCCTTCCCAGGCATCATCTGACATGGTGGGGATTGGAGATGCACCCTACTCTTTCACATAAAGACCATGTCGCGGTCACTTCAGGGACTTCACAGAACTTGATCACAGGAAGTACAGCCAGCCTGGGAACTCTTGCCCCTGATCTCGGTCATTTTGGTATTTCCACAGACTTGCTTGTATAAGAGTTTCTCTTCCGGTCCCCCTCTAGCTCTACCCACACAGGCATGGTATACATGAGCTTACACAAGCTCTGGGTACCCACAGCACTGTCTCATGTCCTGATGCTTTTACCATATGGCTACAGAGCCCAATCCACCTAAGTCAGTTCTGAGTCTTGGGAGGAGCAGTCTCCATGTTCTGTCTTAGATCAGTTACTCATTCCCACTCCAATAAAGAGCAGCAGGGAGATAGGATCAAACCCCAAGGCCTTCAAAGATCAGGGCATAAGCCACACAGCACAGAAATATGCTTTCTGGAATGCTGACACCTCCAGAGAAGACCTTAGGGTCAGCAGAGTAAGTCTGAGGTGGCTCCAGAACACCCCAGTGAAAGTGGGAAGGAGGGATAGACTATGAATGTCTTAAACCCTCCTGGAGACCTTCGGCAGAGCCATGGCCATTGTCATGGGGATGGCAGGAGTCCCCAAGAGAGCCTGTACAGGGACAGGAGCAAAGAGACTGGTAGAAGAAACACAAGAGGCAGATGAGAAGCCAAGGCCCTGGACAAAGAAAGAAGGCCAAACAAGGTACTCAGAAGTCAACGGCTGCCGAGGGGCAGGAGGCAAAAATGACTGAAAGGTGCCTTGAGGACTTAGAGAGAGAGCAAAGCATCTTTGAGACCAAGAAGATTCTAGGAGCAAATGCTCAGGAGAGAAGTGGATTTAGGTAAACCCTCAGTGAGTCCCAAAGTTAGTAAAGTGGCAAATGGGGCTTTCAAGCAGTATATTGGGGTTTTAACTTTTAAATATTGTGGGGTTGGGGATTGAGCTCAGTGGTAAAGCAAAGGCCCTGTGTGTGAGCTTGCTCTCTCTCTCTCTCTCTCTCTCTCTCTCTCTCTCTCTCTCTCTCTCTCTCTCTCTCTCTGAGTGCATGCTCAGGCCATGGGCTGTATTTCCTATGAAATGCCAGCAGAAAAGGCTGAAGGGGGAGGTCAATAAATGGATGTCAACGTAAGAGAGGAAACAAAGTCTAGAACGGCTTTGGTTTGGGGCTGATGAACAGGGTGTCAGGAATGGGAGGCCAGAGTGGCTATATGACTCTAGTTTCTAGAAGGGTCCATCCCAGCAGTCTTAATAATAAGTGCTGTGTGTCCATTCCTGGATGTCTCTCTTCCACGATCAGCCTCTGGTCTGCTCAGGAAGAAGTAAGGACAGCCAGCAGTAGCTGGAGAAAGCTTGGGAGCCAGGACAAAGTCAACTTAGAGGTCATGCTGAGAACTAAGCTAGGAACATATCCAGAGTGCTCAAGCATAACTAGCTGGCTCGGACTAGATCTTCAATGGGCTTTGCTTGGTCCAAGGAGAATTTTGCATCCTTTTTTAAATCTAAGAAAGATATTCCCACCCCAAGGGCTGTTCACAGAGCTGGAATGAACTGGCTGGAGCTCCAAGCCTGTCTTTACTGGGAATGGGCAGTTCCACTGTCGTTACAGGTGGCCAAGAAGCCTATGTATGCCATGTCCTGCAGCCAGAGGTGGCTCTTCCTCAAAACAGGAGGTGCTGGCAGGATTGCTGATTACACTGTCTTCCTCTTTCAGCTGCATCTGGTTGCTCTGAACACGCCGGTGGCCGGGGACATCCGAGCCGACTTCCAGTGTTTCCAGCAGGCCAGGGCTGCAGGACTGCTGTCCACCTTCCGAGCTTTCCTGTCATCCCATTTACAGGATCTCTCCACAGTTGTGAGGAAAGCAGAGAGATTCAGCCTTCCCATTGTGAACCTCAAGGTAAAGAGAAACCTTTATCACTGCCTTCAGGCAGACTGGTCCCCAAGTGTCCCAAGCATTTGCTACTCCATGGCATCAACCGCAGCTCAAGGCCACACCTCCCCTCTTTACAAATCACTTTCCTCTCTGAACTGGGGACTTCAGGAGAACAGGCATCTGAACCCTCAAGGATGAGCAAAAGCCTAGTTGTAGGCCAATGGCATAAAAATCCTAATGTGGTATTTTTCTTCACAGGGCCAAGTTCTTTTTAACAATTGGGACTCAATATTTTCTGGCGACGGGGGTCAGTTCAATACACACATTCCGATATACTCCTTTGATGGTCGAGACGTGATGACGGACCCTTCCTGGTAAGTGCAGGCTGAGACCCTGTTATGTAGCACCATAGGTATTTTTAGGATATTTTCTAACAATGAGATTCCTTTATCAGCTACCCCCCTCTCCGAGTACTGCCAATCCAAAGCCACAGGAAGGCAGCCGAGTCATGGGAAAGCCATGGCCTTGGAGCCAGAAGACCCAGGTCTAGTCACTCACTGTAAGACTTGGGCAAAGCACTTTACTCTGTGCACCTCAGCTGCCTTGCCTGTCAAATGAGTAGACAGTCATGTGTGTACTCTAGGGCAGTTGTGCAGACGCCTGTGAGTGAAAACAGCATGCAGTAGACATACTGTGACTGGTGGTCCCGCAGCTCTGTCCTATAAATGGCACTCTCGGTCTTTGAAAACAGCATGTGTTGTTCAGGATGCTCGGTGTCTATGCTGTAACACATCTAATGCCAGGTCTGGAAGGCACCAGGTAGTGCACTGACATGGCCCCTTCTCTTTAAGGGTTTTCAGTGTCAAGGGGCAACAGATAACAGATCAAATATGCATGTAGACATTTTTGTAGCTTTAAAATAGAAAGATGACAACAGGAACCTAGGGAAGCCATTGGTTTTTGAGGGTGAGAATCAAAAGTCGAGTCCTGCAAGAGGGGGCCCCTCAGGTGAAGGAGTCCCAGGTCTGACTGTTAAAGAGGCTACTGAAGAAGTAACCGCAGTAGCAATTTTGCCGAGTCATGAAAACTAAAGGTGCTATTGGGAGATGGCTGCAAGCTGAGTATGCTAGAAATAGAGTATGCCTAGAAAGCTGGTAACAGCCACAAGGCTAAAAAAAAAAAAAAAGGATCTAGCATTGGATCATGAACTATGGATGAGGAAGAACGTGTCTTACTGCATACACTTATGCCAATTCACTTACCAAGATATGCCACGAAGAATTGCTGTTTAAGAACTGGGGTGATTGTCTGGCAGTGGTGGCGCATGCCTTTAATCCCAGCACTTGGGAGGCAGAGGCAGGAGAATCTCTGTAAGTTCGAGGCCAGCCTGGTCTACAGAGCGAGATCCAGGACAGGCTCCAAAACTACACAGAGAAACCCTGCCTGTCTCAAAAATAGTAATAATAATTAAGAAGTGGGGTGAAGGCTCAGGCAGTGAAATGCTTGCTGCACAGGCATGATAACCTGAATTCAGGTCCCCATCATACGTTTAATAGCTAGGTGGGGGCGTGCATCTGTAACTCCAGCACTGAGTGGCAGAAATCTGTGGCTCCTTGGGGTTTGGTGGCCATCAAATCTAGCTAAATTAGCAAGCTCCTGGTTCAGTGAGAGACCCTGCCTCAAAAATAAGGTGGAGAATGATTGAAGAAGATATCCAGTATTGACCTCTGGCCACATACATGTGCCCCCCCCCCCACATGCACAAACCACACAACACAATAACTATAAAATAAAATAAGAAATAAAGAACTTCATGTTATTAAAAATGCTACTTAAAATGTAACACTAGCCAGGTGGTGGTGGTGCATGCCTTTAATCCCAGCGCTTGGGAGGCAGAGGCAGACAGATCTCTGTGAGTTCAAGGCCAGCCTGGTCTCCAGAGTGAGTTCCAGGACTGTTATATAGAGAAACCTTGTCTCAGAAAACCACATACACACACAAAAAGTAACACTATAAAATTCCTTTCTAGGCCCCAGAAAGTCATTTGGCATGGATCCAACCCCCGTGGTGTCCGTCTTGTGGATAAGTACTGTGAAGCCTGGCGAACCACGGATATGGCAGTAACGGGATTTGCCTCGCCACTGAGCACAGGGAAGATTCTGGACCAGAAAGCTTATAGCTGTGCTAATAGGCTAATCGTCCTATGTATTGAAAACAGTTTCATGACAGACGCTAGGAAGTAATAGCCTTCCCATGATTCTCAAAGAGTTTTCTAATTTTTCTTATGTGAAGAGTTGACACTGAAGTCTAAAATGTTGTAAATATTGTAAGTTTTTTTTTTTTTATATTACACATTTGTCAAAAGAGAAACCAAAGAAAACATACCTCAGTATGCTCAAAAGGAAAGACACAAGGGACTCAGATCCAAGTCAAATCCAATCCACATATTGGTGCTAGATTCTGCAGGAAGCCCCGGCAGTGTGAACACATCCCGACAGAGTAGGGCAATCTGAAAACAGAGGCCAGAGTGACTGATTGCCCAGTGCATTCTTCAGAAAGAATTCCTTCCTTCCAACCATGACTATTGAGTGTAAGATGTCCTTCATGTTTGCTTACAAGGTCAGCTTTTAGACACATAGCCCCTCCCTAAGTGCTTGGTGATTCCATATACATCCATCCGTCCAGAGAAAGGGACCTGCTCGAAAGATCCCATTCATATTTTCTTCTATCAGGCTTTAATACGGTTCCCTTTAAAATACTATTGCCATCATGCTGTAGAGTTTTGCATGTTTACCCAATCATAGTTGAGCGTGGCATCTGTTTATGTAGTTCTGGCTTGCTGGGAAAGTTGAGACTCCAGGAAAGAAACAGCACATAATCATTACCTTTCTTTCCCTTGCTAGTCCTCCTTCCCATCTCCCACCCCAATTTTACGATTTCCATTTAGCAAGTCTTGAATTACGACTGCAGCTGAAACAGATCCGTTGAGATGAGTTTCCTGAAAAGTCTGTATCATTGTGCTGTAGGCTTTGCTATCTTTTTCCATGTAAGAACATAAAGACATCTTTTCCAGGTGCTTGCTTCTGTTTGACTTTTGATCCCTGGATCTTTCATTCTTTGCCACTGAGGCAGAAGTGGCCTGGGTGGATGTGCTAATCTTGTCACCGGCACTGGGGACGAGTCATTCCAGAATTGAAGAGGGTTGGGGGTAAGGTGGGGCAGATGAGCCCGAGTGGGAGACAAGCTCTGTTGCGATTGCACCAATGTCCCAGCGCATGACTGTGGGCTCTTCTGTCTCCGGGAGACTGGGGTCGATGCACAGTGTCGCCTTTGCCTAAGCTCTACAAAGTGGGTAGTTTTTAAACCTCCACTTTTCAAAGGAAGAAAAAAGAAAGAGGCAGCTCAGGTCCTTCCTGGGTCCAGGCACATGGCTGGCATGTGTGGGGCTGGTTTCAGACTCAGGCTCTCTCCCCCTTCAGGGCCCAAGGTCTTTTCAAGGCACCCCTGGATATGGCTGCCTGTTGGTCCCCTCTC